TATTTTATGTATATTAAGGAGACATCACCAACAATCTTGAATGATCAAAATGTAGATCATGATACTTTAAGATGTTGATAACTTATGTTGGAAATATTATGAGAGTTTTGAAGTCATTGTAGGATAATTTAAAATAAGTCTAGAAACCTGTGATAAGCTAATGATCTTAGGAAGCTATCCCCCCTCTGTAGCGTGATTATGCTCAGACAAACCTGAATTCTTAAACAACTGAAAGCAATCGATATCATGGATATATATTTTTATTGAGATTGCTTTTAAGGTATTGGTTTAGATGTTGATTTCATTCTCTCTTCTTTTTTTCTGTTTTTTCTATTGCTGCTGTTTAAGGATTTGGCCCTGTGTATCATTATTAGGTAGTACTCAAAGTCGTCTTGTATGTGCCCGTCCTGTCATACAAAAAATATTTACCAAAACGAAAATTTTAAAAAGACCATTTGTATTACCACTGCATGGTCATATTTTGTAAACAAGCAAGTACTATGCTTGCAGATTGATAAAGTTATATATATAACAAAAAAAAAAATATCATAAAATAAAAAGTACATGTAAGCAAAACAAAGTGTACAAAATTCTTTTTTCTTTTGCTTTCAAACTTGAGAATTGATTTCTGAATTTAAATATTTAGTTGATCAGGGTTGGTGATACAGAAGAGGATACACTAGGCTTCGGGAAAGATCCAGGCAGTAGACTAGAGATTTAGCAAGAGAAAGAAAAATGGAGAAAAGTGTGCATATGGCTGGAATATGTATGCAGAACCTCATTTACTTGTCTCATGGGGTGAAACTGTTAAGAAATGAAAAGTTGAAGGGTTCAGGACTAGAAAAGGAAAACAGCCATAGGAAAAATGTCAAAAGGAGAATACCATTGTTGAAAATTTTGAAAAATTATTATTCTTCCTGATCTTTCTCTAAGTAGAAATGGATTAGTGGGAGAGTGGATGAGTTGGCTGAGTGAGCAGGAGAACAAATGGAGTGTGAGTGTGCGCATGTGTGTGTGTGTGTGTGTGTGGATGAAAGAGAGAGGGAGACATAGAAAGAATGACTAAATAAACAGGTGCATATGAGGTTTAAATGGACTCTTTTTCTCATTGTTAGCCTAAATATCTTGAAAGGTTCTAATTTTCTCTTGACTTCACAGTGCAAAAGATGTTGATCAGTATATTTCATTGTGAATTGTAAAAGGAATGTTCATGAAGGCCCTTGAGAATTGGTCAGTTAGCTCATTCCACTATTTTAATGACATATAATTGATGATTAAATCTGCATTTATGTTTATATATATTTTCTTTTGTAGATTTTTTTTTATTTTTCTGTAGCAATACTATTATTTTTGTTTATAAATTATGAGTCGGTACTATCAGTATTATTATTACTGGTATTATTTTTGTTATTTTTTGTCAGTTTTCATTTTGTATTAATATTCTTTGTTTGAGAAGGATTTCATTTTATTATTATTATTATTATTATTATTATCATCATCATTTTGTCTTCAAAATCATCATTATTCTCTTGTTACTATTAAGAAGCTTAGTAGTTGGTATGTGTATTTATCATTTATTATTTATTTTGCTTAAAGAGATCCCTCAGAGTAAAATCTTTCCTAAATATAAGTAAATAAATAATGAAATCCCTGTTTTAACCACAAGAGAAATCAATAAGATATGTATTAAAGTCTTAGCTGGCAACAGCATTGTCTATTTGATGTATCTAACTGTACACTTGAATTTCTATCCTATTTGCTCTTATGATTCTTGTAAATAAAAACATTTTTAAAGAGTTATTCTGTGATTACAAATTGCACTGAAGGAGTGGAGATTAATTTTTGTTGTTCAAATCATGGAGAATGGCATCCTCAAAAGTGCGGGGGCATATGACTCTTAGATCACATTACAGAGATCACCTTTCAGCCAGAGGGAGTAGAAAGTCACTTGTAGCCATACAAGACAGGGGAACCTGGTCCTCTCTCTGTTCTCATATAAAAGCCAAAGTCCCTCTGTGTGTGTGTGTGTGTGTGTGTGTGTGTGTGTGTGTGTGTGTGTGTGTGTGTGTGTGTGTGTGTGTGTGTGTGTGTGTGTGTGTGTGTGTGTGTGTGTGTGTGTGTGTGTGTGTGTGTGTGTGTGTGTGTGTGTGTGTGTGTGTGTGTGTGTGTGTGTGTGTGTGTGTGTGTGTGTGTGTGTGTGTGTGTGTGTGTGTGTGTGTGTGTGTGTGTGTGTGTGTGTGTGTGTGTGTGTGTGTGTGTGTGTGTGTGTGTGTGTGTGTGTGTGTGTGTGTGTGTGTGTGTGTGTGTGTGTGTGTGTGTGTGTGTGTGTGTGTGTGTGTGTGTGTGTGTGTGTGTGTGTGTGTGTGTGTGTGTGTGTGTGTGTGTGTGTGTGTGTGTGTGTGTGTGTGTGTGTGTGTGTGTGTGTGTGTGTGTGTGTGTGTGTGTGTGTGTGTGTGTGTGTGTGTGTGTGTGTGTGTGTGTGTGTGTGTGTGTGTGTGTGTGTGTGTGTGTGTGTGTGTGTGTGTGTGTGTGTGTGTGTGTGTGTGTGTGTGTGTGTGTGTGTGTGTGTGTGTGTGTGTGTGTGTGTGTGTGTGTGTGTGTGTGTGTGTGTGTGTGTGTGTGTGTGTGTGTGTGTGTGTGTGTGTGTGTGTGTGTGTGTGTGTGTGTGTGTGTGTGTGTGTGTGTGTGTGTGTGTGTGTGTGTGTGTGTGTGTGTGTGTGTGTGTGTGTGTGTGTGTGTGTGTGTGTGTGTGTGTGTGTGTGTGTGTGTGTGTGTGTGTGTGTGTGTGTGTGTGTGTGTGTGTGTGTGTGTGTGTGTGTGTGTGTGTGTGTGTGTGTGTGTGTGTGTGTGTGTGTGTGTGTGTGTGTGTGTGTGTGTGTGTGTGTGTGTGTGTGTGTGTGTGTGTGTGTGTGTGTGTGTGTGTGTGTGTGTGTGTGTGTGTGTGTGTGTGTGTGTGTGTGTGTGTGTGTGTGTGTGTGTGTGTGTGTGTGTGTGTGTGTGTGTGTGTGTGTGTGTGTGTGTGTGTGTGTGTGTGTGTGTGTGTGTGTGTGTGTGTGTGTGTGTGTGTGTGTGTGTGTGTGTGTGTGTGTGTGTGTGTGTGTGTGTGTGTGTGTGTGTGTGTGTGTGTGTGTGTGTGTGTGTGTGTGTGTGTGTGTGTGTGTGTGTGTGTGTGTGTGTGTGTGTGTGTGTGTGTGTGTGTGTGTGTGTGTGTGTGTGTGTGTGTGTGTGTGTGTGTGTGTGTGTGTGTGTGTGTGTGTGTGTGTGTGTGTGTGTGTGTGTGTGTGTGTGTGTGTGTGTGTGTGTGTGTGTGTGTGTGTGTGTGTGTGTGTGTGTGTGTGTGTGTGTGTGTGTGTGTGTGTGTGTGTGTGTGTGTGTGTGTGTGTGTGTGTGTGTGTGTGTGTGTGTGTGTGTGTGTGTGTGTGTGTGTGTGTGTGTGTGTGTGTGTGTGTGTGTGTGTGTGTGTGTGTGTGTGTGTGTGTGTGTGTGTGTGTGTGTGTGTGTGTGTGTGTGTGTGTGTGTGTGTGTGTGTGTGTGTGTGTGTGTGTGTGTGTGTGTGTGTGTGTGTGTGTGTGTGTGTGTGTGTGTGTGTGTGTGTGTGTGTGTGTGTGTGTGTGTGTGTGTGTGTGTGTGTGTGTGTGTGTGTGTGTGTGTGTGTGTGTGTGTGTGTGTGTGTGTGTGTGTGTGTGTGTGTGTGTGTGTGTGTGTGTGTGTGTGTGTGTGTGTGTGTGTGTGTGTGTGTGTGTGTGTGTGTGTGTGTGTGTGTGTGTGTGTGTGTGTGTGTGTGTGTGTGTGTGTGTGTGTGTGTGTGTGTGTGTGTGTGTGTGTGTGTGTGTGTGTGTGTGTGTGTGTGTGTGTGTGTGTGTGTGTGTGTGTGTGTGTGTGTGTGTGTGTGTGTGTGTGTGTGTGTGTGTGTGTGTGTGTGTGTGTGTGTGTGTGTGTGTGTGTGTGTGTGTGTGTGTGTGTGTGTGTGTGTGTGTGTGTGTGTGTGTGTGTGTGTGTGTGTGTGTGTGTGTGAGTATTTTTGTGGAGGGAAAGTCATTTGTAGAATTTTATTTAGATTTTTTTTCTTTTATTATGATCACATAAGGGTTAAATGCTTATTTATACTTCCTGTAAACTTGGTGTCATACCTTATAATACAGAATTTTAACTTTTTGTGCAGTTATAAGAGAATTTTGAATAGTCTAGAAAGCACTAGTGACATTCCTCTATAACCTGTACATAAAATGCCTAGGATATATCCAAACAATTAGTGTAGAGGTATCAAAGCTGTATCTGAAAATAAAGTCATGTAAAAGTGCTGAACGAAAGTATTGTTTTATTTTGCACACCTGTTTGGTTTTGTACTACTACTATTTTTTTTTTTACTAATTTTTAATGATGTAGATCCTTTTCATATGTAACTTGTGTTACTGAAATTGACAATTTAATTTCATAACACCATGCATTTCAGGAATTTTGTTAATTAATTTTAAATGGTGTAGAAGAATTTTCAAATTTCATTTCTTAAAGTTTGTCATTTTTTAGAAAATATACAGTAGTTTTTACAATTTTTTTCCTCTGTTATTTTAAAGCAAACGACAAAAGTGGCAGTGAAATTAAAGAAGAGTGAGTGGTTTACCTGCTGCAGACGATCATTTACATGTCTGTAAGATGATGTAAGCAGAGATTGTAGTGCAGTCAAGGCCACTAACACATGCTTTTTTTAATTTTTTTTATTTATTTATTTATTTATTTTTTAAGCATCATGTTCAATAACTGAAAGGCATTTGACAATAAACATTTTATTCAGATAACCTAACAATAAGTTGCTAACCCCTTTTGATCAGACTAATGATAACAAAGAATGGACATATTCAGCTGATAACACCCAATTCCTTGCCAATTTGTTTGAAGGCTTCGACTGTATAATCAACTTCTTCAAATGAATGGGATGCTGAAATCTGCACTCTGATTCTTGCTTTGCCTTTTGGTACTACAGGAAAACTGAAGCCAATCACATATATGCCTTTTGCTGAAAAGAGAAAAAAAATATGGTGAGATACTCATTTCTTCACTTATTCTGTGAATGATACACATGATACAAAAATCAAATCTACAATATTGCAGCAAGTCATAAAAATTAAAACTTACCGAGCATTGCATCAGCAAACTGTGAAGCCAATCGAGCATCTCCTAGCATAACAGGGCAGATGGGGTGATTCTCCCCAGCAATAGTAAAACCAGCCTCTGTCATCTGTGATCGGAATCTATCCGTATTAGCTTGGACTTTTTCTGCAAATCCTGCACTTCCCAAAAGAAGGTCAAATACCTGTTGAGAAAGAAAAGGATTGATGACAAAAAAAAATTAAAAACATTATGGTTATAAAGTTGAAACTTAACAGTGATGTCTACATAACTCATGTATGTACTTTGAATTACATTTTTTAAAAATGACACTAACTTTGTTTGCACAAGCTACAACTGGAGGAGGTATTGAGTTAGAGAACAGGTAAGGTCTTGCACGCTGCCTCAGAAGAGTAACAAGTTCCTTTGGACCTGTTGTATATCCACCAGCAGCTCCACCCAAGGCTTTCCCAAGGGTGCTGTTGATGATGTCAACACGACCAGGAGGCAATCCAAAGTGTTCTTCTGTTCCCCTGAAAAACAATATCCCTCTTTTGGTGATGCATAGTAAGATAAAACAAATTATCTGTTGTGTGTCATTAGCATGAAGTAAAATCAATTTAAATAATCCTTCAAATTAAGTACTACTAAATATTCATATTACCTATTGCTAAAGTAGTCTACCCTATTTTAATTTCTGAGGTAACAATTGATTCATTTATGACATGGGAGGGGGATGTTTAATAATTCTCACATGTAATATTCTATAACACATACCTTCCAGTTGCTCCAAAAAATCCAGTGGCATGGCATTCATCAATGAAGACCATGGCATTGTATCTGTCTGCTAGTTCACATATGGCTGGTAGTGGGGCAACATTTCCATCCATACTGAACACTCCATCAGTTACAATTAGTTTCATGCGAGCACTTTTACATTCCTGCAACTTAGCCTCAAGATCTGAGGGTAGAATTAATATTACAATAAGTTGAAAAGAATATATATGTATATGTACTTAAATGTTTCCTTACAATCAGCAATAGCTGCATTTCGCATGATGACAAACTAAAAATGGAAAATGCAGAAAAAAGTAACCTTACCTTCCATATCCTTGTGTCTGTATCTGTGCTTCTGAGCTTTGCACAACCTGATACCATCAATGATGGATGCATGGTTTAATTCATCAGAAAGCACGGCATCTTGAGGAGTAAGGAGGATTTCAAATAGCCCAGCATTTGCATCAAAGCATGAGGCATACAATATAGCATCATCACGACCGTGAAATTTTGCAATCTTTTCCTCCAGTTCCTGAAATCACACAATACCCATCACAAAAGACTATGTATTGAATAGAGGCATGATTAGCACATTTATATAGTGGGGGGGGAAAAAAAGGTAAAAAAAAAAAATTATACACCTAACCAAATTTCTACAATATATCACTTGTTGGTTACTTTCTGCTTAGTCATGCATTACCTTACCCCCACCACCTACTTACCATATGTATGTCTTGTGTGCCACAAATAAAACGGACAGATGATAGTCCTGCGCCATATTTATCCAGAGCTTCTTTACCAGCTTGAACTACCTCCGGGTGACTCTGAAATGGAATGACACACTAAATATCTTTTTTTATGAAAAGCAAACACCTAGTCACTTATATTTCCAAGCAATGTTCATCTAAAAATATCATAATGGGTGTTATGTATGTTTCTACGCTTGTGTCAGAAGATAAAAAAAACTAATAAACATACAAAAAGAGAAGGATATATATAGTCATAGAAAAGAAGAAAAGAGATTATACAAAAATCAAAAAGAACTTACAGACAAACCCAGATAATTATTGGCGCAGAAATTGAGAACTTGTCTACTCTGGCCCTGGACGCTGATATTGACAGCTTGCTTCGACGTGATGACTCGCTCCGTCTTCCACGTGCCAGCTGCCCTTATACCCTCCAGCTCACTGCCAAGGATCTCCCTACATGCAGCTTGGGCATGGCTAAGGCGTATCCCCGGGGCACTACTCCTAATGCAATTTGCTCCTGAAACAAAGAGCCATTTCCTTGTTTTAGAAATTCTGTATATATGAATGGGGGAGGAAAGAGAGAGAGATTCACTTGTACATGCTTGCAATTCGTACAATTGATTCATAGGCAAGTGTAACAATCCCTACACAGACCCGTTGCGTCACGTGGAGCCGCGTGCGTGTTGACGCAGTCTCTTTGAGGATGTTCGCCCCCTATGAGACTTCTCTGTGTCATTCAACTAATCAATGTCGAGGTTTGTCTGGAGAGAACATAATCTCACAAAGCATGGACGAAGTTGTCAACTGTGATTTTGCGCGTTATCAGGTGAGGTGCAAAGTCTCCGCAATCCAGTGTAACGAAGTTTACACACGGCGAATACATCAACCACATTTAACAAAACGATTGCAAGAGACAGGCTTTCTGACAAGTCTTCACACCTCCGCAATACACAGATTGCATGCACAGTACTAATAGTCAACCCGCGTGCATACTCCTGCTTGTGGTTCTGATGACGTCATTCTGGTCAAGGTTGCAAGGTCGCGGTTGTAACGTGGAATTGGCTTGTTCCGTGTCTGCGCGGTTTGCGGGAGCCTCGCTTTTTTACCACCCCTCTCCCTCGCCGTGCAAAATGTTCCAAGGTGTGATTTGTATGTCCGCAAGGCATCGTAATCCACGAATAAAGGACTGCACACCAACACACATTTGTAAACAAGAATGGTCACAATACATGTCGAAAGCTCAAAATTGCATCGTATTCATGTTTTAGCTATCTATTCATCTAATTATTTATTTTAGTCTGACGCACATGCTTTAATAATCACTGATCTACCTAAGTAAAACAATTCTCTTCTCCCAATTTCCGATATTACGAGTGCGAGTAAATTTGTTTCGTTTCCAGAATGCGAGCGGGAGTGAGGATTCACGCATGGATATACTAGTTAATTCTGAGTTGTAACGTAGACAAAATCAAATGTTAAGAAACGCACCGACAATTACTATTAAAAACTTTCCTACACAATTCACTTCACGGCATTTTTTTATACTTTAATAAGGGAGTGAATATCATGTGTGCACATCTTTGTTGTGTGGTTCGAAATAAAATATATATTATCTGGATTTCAAGCTAATTCATTGACGGAAAATGAAAAGACTGAAGCCAATTTGAAATTTAAAGTCCCTTTTAATTACTTACAGGCGAACCTTGGCGTGGCCAAAACGTGCGTACTTTCAGAACATTATATATACATCTGCTACGAAACTACCCGGTGTCAACGAACTCAACTTGTATTTAAAGAGTGATATATTAAATTTCAACAAACTACTAATATTGATTCACAAGTGTATTTTTTAAAACAATACTTGAAGCTCTTAACAAGTATACTAAGCAATAAATAAATAAATATATATATAGATTGATACTGCTTCTTCTGTCAGCTGTCTGAATAGCATGGATTAGTGCCAAACCTCTCAAGTGTCTCTCGAATACCTGGAGAGAATTTATATAAATTACTGTTTTACTATTCTCGACTGGATTTCATAACAATTATAACAACTAAAACGTCCTGAGACTGGACCAAAGTCGTGTTCAAAATTAGACGAAGAAACACACACCGATTCATTAATTAGAACAATGCTGTTACCAAAAAAAAGAAAAAGAAAATGAGATAGAAATCACACAATAAAAAAACAAAATACAATATAATCTTTCGTGAAAGGGCTTAAAAGGACACGAGTTCTTTCAACGGCATGAGTTTAGGTAAAGCGGCCACTGAGGCTAACGGTCTGCACCTACCAAATAAGATGGCATCGCCCTAGCTCTTACGAAGTTCGTGACGTAAACCCGTCATATTACATTTACCCGAAAGAAGGAGTAAGTAATAGAGTTGTGTTCTTTATTTTAAAGAAAAAATATATGTCCACAGTAAATCGGCCGCTTGTTTTTCACCTGCACGAAGCTGCACTCTGCAAGTCACGTCGAGTGATCCGGGAAGGCAATGCGGTTGCAGTTTTACAAATGATGCGTTTCCTTCGTATAAGTGAAGAAAATAGCAGAAGGTTTAATTTTCTCTATATATATCTCATCCTATTTCTATTTCCCACTCTCCCCATTTCCTTCTCTAGCTCCCTCCCTAACAGCCCCCCCCCTCATACACAGATAGAGAAGATGAGAGAGGAAGAGGAAGATGGAGATGGAGATGAAGAAGGCGAGGAAGATGGAGATGGAGATGGGAGAGAGAGAGAGAGAGAGAGAGAGAGAGAGAGAGAGAGAGAGAGAGAGAGAGAGAGAGAGAGAGAGAGAGAGAGAGAGAGAGAGAGAGAGAGAGAGAGGGTAATAAAATACATATATAAATGGTAAAAAGAAAAAAAAAACACTAGTAAACCAAATCATTATGCTACTCTCCTGCACCGAGCTCCAACTGAATAAACTTGAATCACAAACAAACGTATCGAAAGCAATCCAAACCTGAAATTACTTGTTAATAAAACAAAATCATTTATCTCCTACATGCTGCGACAATGACAAGCCAAACATTCGAAATCGTAAGATGGGCTGATTCTAAATTGAACTTTCTAGTTCTTTGACCTCTTCCTTACGGATATTCTTGGTCATTCTTACGATATCAATTTTCCATTGGAAGGGTTTTCATTGTATCAAACGTTCCCAATGCCTTTGAAAAACTATTTATCCTCCAACGGCTAAAGGCTATCAGATATTTATTCACAAACAACAAAAAAGCCGGCTATTTATTAAGTAAAATAAAAAAACTACCAGCTATTTATTTACTAACTGCAAGCTTTTTATTCGACACGAGCTAGAGATTACCTACTATTTACTCAACGACAGATAAACACAAACAACGCCTTA